CATGACAAGAATCCTATCTAGCCGAAAAGAAAACAACCACAAAGGAACAAAAAATGAGACAAACATGCATGACCAAAACACCAAGATAAACCCATCTCTCAGAACAGACCACCCAAACTTCAACCCAATTCTCCAAGAAAACCAAACCAAATCATCAAAGCATGATAAACACAAAGTGCATGAGTCACGTTCCCTTAGTTCAAAGCTGATGGCTTTTCTAAACGCAAGCTTCAATAACAGATATTGCTCATGGCATCTCAAACAAACAGCGAACAACAACAAGAACGTCAAACAAGCCAAGACAGATTCAAAAAGGAAATGGAACAGGCCACTTTTCTTCACAACATATCTAGTATTTCAAACGGATAGGCCAAGTAAATATTTTTTTTTCAAAGCTGGGATCTTGGTACTAAACTAAAACCTAGGAGCGAAACATAATCAACACCAAACAAATTTCAGACCCTACCATACCCATCATACACAATAACAGCAAAAAAAACATCTTTGAGCCATGAGGAATCAACTATAGGTGACACCCATTTCATTCTTTATGACAGAAAGAAAACACGAAAACTAACAAATTTAGGTTCACAATTTCCAATCACACACATACATGCTTGGAAAGCTTAAATAATCTGTGCCTAAAGAAAACTTGGGGTTTAAAGGAGAGAATAGCTTACAGTGGTCTCTCTTTCGTTGGAGATTCACAACTGATGATAGCAGAATGCAGCGGTAGCGGCTTTTCGCTTCGATCAGCAGTTCCAGTAGCGATTCCTTGCTTGGCCTTCTCGTTTCTCCCTTCTCCTCTTCCAGCTCTCGATCTATCTCCAACTCCTGACGCCTTCCAGTTCTTCTTTGCTCTCTCGCTCACCCTTTCGGTTTTTCCTTTGCTTTTTGCTTTTTTTTTTCAGACTCCCCTTCACTCTTCACTTCGCCGCCCACCAGATTCTCCTCCTTTTTCCTATCCCTTTCGCTGTTTTTCTTTTTCCGCCGTTATGCACCCGCTCTCAGCTATCATCCATTTTTTCTTAAACCCTCCTTATCCCTTTTATATGGCACACCAGAAACTAAACCCTCTCAACGATGGTTTAGACGAAGCCACCGGTATTTGGGGAACCATCAAATGGTTCTTGATGCCCAAACCATTGAGGTTTCTAGATTAAGCCAGATGGCTTGTACTATGATAATCTAACGGAGCTAGAAACCCAAGAAAAAAAATCGAAAAATGCAGCTGCAATTCCTTTCTGTTCTAGCCGAGACCAAAATTTGAAAGAAATGGTGCGCGTGCCTCACACGTGCACGTGGACCTTTTTTTTTAACAATAATAATAAAGAGAATGATTTTCTTAACAACAAATCGAAATAAAGTAAGAGCAACAAAAGTTGAACAGAATGCTAAAATTTTTGTGTTTGATTGATTTTTCTTTTTTTTTCTTTTCAATGAATTAATTAATAATAAATGATTTTTTTTAACAATAATAATAAAGAGAATGATTTTCTTAACAACAAATCGAAATAAAGTAAGAGCAACAAAAGTCGAACAGAATGCTAAAATTTTTGTGTTTGATTGATTTTTCTTTTTTTTCTTTTCAATGAATTAATTAATAATAAATGATTTTTTTACAAAATAAAAACAGAGTAAAAATAAACAAAAATTAAAACAAAGTCGACTAAATGAAATGAAAAACAATAATAATAAAAAAGAAAGAGGGTAAAATTCTGGTGTCTACAGTTTGTCCCTTGTAAGTCCCACAGACAACCAAGAGGGGGGTGAATTGGGTTGATTAAAATCTTAACCAAGTTTATGCACTTTTTCTTTAATGAAAATTTACCTTCCTTTTTAGTAATGATCAACCAAGTAGATTAGAAGACAATAGCAATATTGATCAGAGAAGCAAGTATAGATAAGCAATGAAGATTTTATTAAACAGAAAAGTAAGATAGGGAATCAAACCAAGTGTCTACCAAGCTGTCCTCAAACTCAAAGACCAAACACTAGGAAAAGCAACTTCTCCTTGATGAAAGAAGATCAACTAGATGTACAATGGAGGGAGCACTTCCTCCTTGCCCTAAGCCGCACTTAGTCAAGCTAAAAAGTTTTACAATCACTCAGAAAACCCTCAACAAAGCTACACTAAAGATTCTTTCAACCACAAAAGAAATGCTCAACAGAAATTCACACCACTTTAAAACAAATCTGCTTTTGAGATTATTTTCTAGCTAAAATATCTCTTGAGAACTTGTAAACAAAGTGTGCAAAAGTCCCTACTTCGTTCAGACCAGTTTGATTTTAAAGGGAACCAGAAATGGGCTTCATCAATGCTTCCAACGGATAGAAGGCAGCTGAAGAGTCAACTAGCCGTTGGGGCTGTCGGACGTCCGACGATCGAATCATCGTCCGAACCAATCGTCCGATGATAGCCAAGTTGAGGTTCGGACGTCCGATGAGTTTTTTTGTCGTCCGACAGCACAGCGTCCGACCTTGGGCCGAGAGCTAGCAAGTTATCTTGGAATTTTTCGGACGTCCGATCTGGTTGATATGCGTCCGAGGTGTGCGTCCGATCCTTCCGGACGTCCGATGCTCCCATATGAGCGTCCGACAGAGCTTCCTTCCTGATGTTCTTCATCCTTTCGGACGTCCGACAGATTCCTTTCGGCCGTCCGACCTGATTGTCCTGTTTTTGCTTCACATTTTGGTTGTTTTGCTTTTGATGACATATTCGAACCTGATTCTTGGATAGACAAAAACACTTGTTTTCGAAGAAGGTTAGATAAACATTTCAAAGTGCCAAGAATGACACACAAGACACACTTAAAAGACAGTATCTTTGATCGGAACAAAACAATTACTAAATTCATTTATATTATTTCAATCTTGTTTGCCACATCCAAAGCATCGTAGACTGGAGTCAATCAGACATATGCTATCCTTGTTCCATCAGGCCTGATCAAAGTGTTCACTTTCTTGGTCTGTATAAACGAACTTTTGTGATCATCAAAACCAAGAATAACATCCCTCTTTATCTGAGTTTCGAAGAAATTCGAGACAAAAACGTAGACACCAAATACTTACCTTAAGTTATTTATTCTATCGTAAGTCGGAATATGTAAGCATAAGAAAAATAATGGGGTGGAAACTCTAGTCTTCATTTGATCAGTGGGATGAATACCCGAGCCTGCCTCCAATTAGTCAGTGGGATGATTACCCGAGTCTGCTTTTATTTGGTCAGTAGGATGAATACCCAAGCCTGCCTTCACTTGGTCAGTGGGATAAATACCCGAGCCTGCCTCCGCTTGGTCAGTGGGATGAATACCCGAGCCTGCCTCAACTTGGTCAGTGGGATAAATACCCGAGCCTGCCTCCACTTGGTCAATGGGATGAATACCCGAGCCTGCCTTCTCTTGATCGATTTGTATAAAAGTTTTAGTAGAATTTTGAGAAGAGAGACAAACAATTTCTTCTAAAATTGCCACAGTGTAATGCTTAGTGGACTGTCAGACCTGCAAGAAAAGAAATAATGATAGATAATGCCGCCACCATTTGATCAATCCCTTCTTTAAGAAATATGTAAACATGAGTATTTGAACTTCCTATTTGACGTAGCGAGTACTTCAACCTTGCCCTGCAAACAATATCAAGCTTCCATAATTTCTCATAGTTAAATCAACATGTCATTTAATCTCCATTCATTTTCAATAAATCATAAGGATTGCCGTTTGATAGAACAAAAGAGACAAATGTGACCATGAAACATGTGAAAAATATTCTAATTGCACATGATGATGAAAACTATAATAATATAAATACAACCATCTACTTTTATTGCATGAAAAATCATTTCAAATAAATAAGCTTATATACTTAAATTTCGTGCTTGATAAATCAAACACTTTGGTTCTCGAACAAAATGCTACGCTTGACCCTTTGGATATCATCTCTCCGGAGTTCAAATGCTTGACAACAGAACCACTATGTGAGGAGAATTTTCAATGAACTAAGTCACCAGCTCTTCAAATCTAAGCTCACTTTTCCTTGTAAAACCTTACTTCAGCGCCCTTTCAGGTTTTCACTAAGGTCGCCCCCACCCTTTTATGTTATTTTTTTTCTTTTCTTTCTTTTCCTTTTCTTTTCTTTTTTTTTTCTTTTCTTTCTTTTCCTTTTCTTTTCTTTTTTTTCTTTTCTTTTTTCTTTTCTTTTCTTCTTCTTTTTTTTTCTTTTCTTCTTCTTTTTTTTCTTTTTTTCTTTTTTTAAAGGTGCCCTTATGGGTTTTTACCTAATAAACAAATTTTGTCTACTGTCCGGATTAATTCGGAAATGTGCTTTAAGAAATAATTGCATCAGTATAGCAAACCTTCCCTTGCAAAACAGGTGAAGATGTCTTTGACATCATGTGCTATTTGATTAGGAATTGTCCTAAAAAGACAATATAAAGAACAGAAGTCATGACTTTTGATTTTTGTAATGGGATGTGGTTGGGTGTTTAGAAAAAGTTAAGGCTCGAAGGCGGATTTATAAATGTTTAGATTTCCTGAAAACGCATCTTCAAATTAACCCTACTAATAATCGCCCCAGTTTATTCTCAATTGAGATTTTCTTTTCTCTTTTTTTTTTTAATTTTAATTTGTCTCTTCATTTTGTTCCTCTATCACTTTTACTTTTTGAAACCTCTCTCTCTTTTTTTCTTTTTTTCTAACTTTTTCTTTTTCAACTCAAAACTTGTCCCAATGTGGGGTTTGCGATTCTCAGTGATTGCCAAACGAAATAATTTGCTCTGAAAGCTCAAAAAGAATAACTAGGGACAGAATGTTTGATTGGAAAGAAAGAAGGCCTGACTTTTCATTCCATTCTTTATATTAACCCTAAAAGGAAAATTTCATTTATCATATGAAAAATTTCTTACACATATCCGAATTGATCGGTTGAGGGAACACTTGCCCATCCATTTCTGCGAGAATGAGCGCTCCTCCGGGCAGAATTTTCTGGACAATAAAAGGGCCTTGCTAATTTGGTGCAAATTTCCCCTTAGCTTCCTCTTGTACTGGCAAAATGTGTTTCAACACCGTATCTCCTTCCATGAATATGCGTGGTCTGACTTTCTTATTGTAAGCACGGGCTATCCTCTTTTGATAACATTGACCATGACAAATGGTATTTAACTTCTTCTCATCGATTAGAGACAACTGCTCATGACATTGTTTGATCCAATCAGCCTCATCCAGTTTGGCTTCTATTAAAATGCGTAAAGAAGGGATTTCAACCTCAGCTGGCAAAACTACTTCTATTCCGTACATGAGATTGTAGGGAGTTGTCCCAGTGGAAGTTCGAATAGCAGTTCTATATGCCATTAATGCATAAGGGAGTTTTTCGTGCCAATCACGGTGTCTCTCAATCATCTTACAGATTATTTTCTTTAAGTTCTTATTTGCGGCCTCTACTGCTCCATTCATCTGTGGTCTATAAATAGAGGAATTCTAATGCTTGATTTTGAACTGTTCGCACAATCCGTCCACATATCATTGTTGAAATTCTTGGCATTGTCAGTGATTAATGTCTCTGGCACTCCAAAACGACAAATAATATGCTTCCTTAGAAAGTCCGTCACCACCCTCTTAGTCACATGCTTGTAAGGCTCAACTTCGACCTATTTGGTAAAGTATTCAATTGCCACCAAAATAAACCAATGCCCATTTGAAGCGGGAGGGTCAATGGCTCCAATTACATCCATACCCCACATTGAACATAGCCAGGGAACAGTCATATTGTGTAATTCTTTAGGGGGAGTGCGTATGACATCTCCATGAAATTGACATTTGATGCATTTTCTAACAAAAACTACACAATCATGCTCCATAGTAAGCCAAAAGTATCCGGTCCTCATGATCTTTTTTGCTAAGAAATGGCCATTCATATGTGATCCACACACATTACTATGTACTTCTTTCATCAAATATTCTGCTTCACCCTCATCAACACACCTCAGAAGGCCCAAATCTGACGTTCTTTTGTATACCACCTCTCCATTCAAGAAAAACTTAGATGATAATCTGCGCAAGAAGCTTTTAGCAGTCGTATCGGCCCCAGGAGGGTAGGACCCTGTTTTGAGAAAATCCTTAATATCGCTGTACTAGGGACGGCCATCTGGAGATTTTTCCACAATTAGGCAATAAGCGGATTTTTCTTGTAGATGAATCCGGATAGGTTCGATTACCAACTCATCTGGATGTTGAATCATTGAAGATAAAGTGTCCAAAGCATCGGCGAAGACATTTCTGGCACGTGGAATATGCCGGAACTCCAAACTTCTAAATTTGTTCGTCAGACCCAATAAACTACAGTGATAAGGCACGATCTTTGAATCTCAAGTGATCCATTCTTTGAGAGTCTGATGTACAAGTAAATCGGAATCACTGAATACTATTAAATCCTTAATTTCTATTTTCAAAGCCATTTTTAGCCCAAAAATGCAAGTATCATATTCAGCCATATTGTTAGTACAGAAAAATCGTAGTTTAGCGGAACCAGGATAATGCTTCCCTTCAGGTGATACCAGAACAGCTCCAATACCAACTCCAAAGGAATTTGAGGCACCATCAAAGAATAGCCTCCATTCAGAGCATTTCTCATTCATGTCTTCTGCTGTACCAACGAACAGGACCTCCTCATCTGGAAAATAAGTATGAAGCGGTTGATAATCATCCCTCCTTGGGTTTTCGACCAAGTGATCCGCTATCGCCTGACCCTTGATGGCCTTTTGCTTGGTAAAAATGATGTCAACCTCCGAAAGAATCATTTGCCATTTAGTCATGCGTCCAATTGGCATTGATTTTTTCAATAAATACTTCAGATGGTCTGACCGAAAGATAAGATAAGTGGTATGACTAAGCAAATAATACCTCAGCTTCTGAGCTGCCCAGGCCAATGCACAGCAACTCTTTTCAAGAAATATATATTTTGCCTCATAAGGTGTGAATTTCTTACTGAGATAATAAATAGCTTGCTCCCTCTTTCCAGAATCGCCATGCTGCCCCAAAACACATCCCACAACCTCGTCAAGCACAGACAAGTACATAATCAATGGTCGACCCAGCTTGGGTGGCACTAAGACCGAGGGGTGCAACAAGTAGTCCTTAATCTTATCAAATACCTGCTGGCACTCTTCACTCCAATGCAATGACACATTTTTCTTCAGTAATTTGAATAAAGGCTCACATGTATGAGTCAACTGGGCGATGAATCTCCCAATAAAGTTAATCTTTCCTAAGAAACTCTTCATGTCCTTTTGCATTTTTGGCACTGGCATTTCACGAATGGCTTTAATCTTTGTCGGATCTATCTCGATACCCTTCTTACTGACAATGAATCCCAATAACTTCCCGGCAGGGGCCCCGAATGCACACTTTGCAGGGTTTAGTTTCAAATCATATATTCTCAATCTTTCTAATAACCTTTCCAAATCAATCAAATGATCCTCCGCCCTCTTGAATTTGATGATGATGTCGTCCACATAACCTCAATCTCCTTATGAATCATATCATGGAATAGGGTGGTCATGGTCCTTTGATAAGTGGCTCCGGCATTTTTTAATCCAAATGGCATTACTCGATAGCAAAATGTTCCCCACGGCGGATAAAAGCAGTTTTCTCTCTATCTTCCTCGGCCATTAAAATCTGATGATACCCGGCAAAACAGTCAGTAAATGATTCAATCTCATGTCCTGCGGTATTGTTTAGAAGAATATGGATGTTTGGTAACGGAAAATCATCTTTCGTACTTGCTTTATTAAGATCCCTGTAATCAATATAGACTCGCACTTCTCCACTTTTCTTCGGGACAGGTACGGGGTTTGAGAGCCAAATGAGATAATGAGACACCATGATAATTATAGCATTGAGCTGCTTTTCGATTTGTTCCTTGATCTTGAGACTTATATCTAGCTTAAACTTGCGAGATTTTTGTTTCACTGGTGAGAAATTTGGATCAGTTGGCAATTGATGGACCACTATGTTTGTTGAAATTTCAGGCATATCATCATAGGACCAAGCAAACACATCTTGAAACATGGTCAAAAACTCAATCATCTCTTTTCTCTATTTCTTATCCAAATGAATGCTAATTTTTATCTCCTTAACCTCAGTCTCAGTGCCAATATTAACAACTTCTGTTTTTTCTAAGTTCGGTTTGGATTTCTCTTCATATTGTTCAAGATTCTTTAATAAAGAGTCAGATTCTTTAATAAAGAGTCAGATTCTTCCTTGTTACCACTCTCGTCTTGAATTTCTGATTCCAAAATTTCAAATTCGTGAGAGATATCAAGATCGCAATCATTAAATTTCAGAATAGTAATATCCAAAGGGTCAATGTATTTTATTTTTGACCATCTGAAAAAGAATAAAATAGATGAAACAATGCGTAAGCAAATCAATTTGAAAAATAAACATTGTGCATTTCATTGAATTTGAAGGTAAAGGATAACATCATAACGTGTGACTTAACAAGAGATTCAACACAAGACTTGCATTGGAAAGCATTTGATTAAAAACTATTTACAAAACTGAAAGACAAAAGATAAATAATACGAATAATTTCTTTCATGGCGACCAAAGGCAATTCCCCAGATTTACCGAAATTTCCTTCGAGAGAGAAGGAAATTACTGGTCCAATTCTTCATTGCTTCGATAGGTACCTCCGAAAATTCTGGGTCCTCCTATGGCACCCCCTCAGAAGCGACCCCCACAAATAGTTCAGACAATCCAACATCCATTTCCTCGATCCAGTCCACTTTAGATCTAATCACCTCTGATGGATAGGGAAAAGTGCAGTACAATAGTGGGATACTCCTGATAAGTTGCTTCCCTTCTTTCTCCGCCTTTTTGCGATCCGACATCTCTTTCTTATCCTTGGTGGTAGGTTGAAACCCCAATTCGATAGTGTCTTTCTTTTCTTGAAACTCTATTGGATTTAGAATTCATTGCAGGTTATGCCCAAGACCCCTGCCTATTTCATATCCTCCTCAAATCATTTTGTTGGCCATAATAACACATGCTTCTGGCAAATTCACCCCCACCACTGGCTTCTCCTTAGATATCCATTCTACGGAGACAATTTCAGCCACGTGGTGAGGAGAAATCAGAGATTTTTTACTACCCTCCTCATTTGGTCCAGAATTAACAATCATTGTGCAATCATCCTCCGTAAAAACTGTGATCAATTGGCCATTCACCACAAATCTCAGCATTTGATGAAGTGAAGATGATCTAGTGCCTGAAGTGTGAATCCAAGGCCGTCCAAGGAGAATGTTATAAATACTTGAAAAATTCATGACTTGGCACATGACTTGAAATTGGACCTGTCCAATTTCCAGCACTAAATTCACTTCCCCTATTGGTTCCCTTTTCGCGCCATCAAATCCTCTCACTACGGTGGTAGACGGCCGCAGTTTAGCCTCTTGAAATTCTAACTTAAGGTATTCCATGGACAGATATTGAGAGCAGATCCATTGTCTATCAGAACCTTCGACAAGAGTTTCCCGTTATAGCGGATTGAGATATACAATACTTTGTTGTGCCCAATCCCCTCGGCAGTTAAATTTTCATCAGAAAAAGAAATTTTGTTGGAAGCCCAAAACATGTTCAACTACAATGGTGAATTTGTCAACTGGAATATTCTTAGGCACTTGAGCCTCATTTAACACCTTGAGTAAAGCCGCTCTATGAAGTTCAGAAGTCAAAAGCAGGTTTAACATAGAAATTTAAGTAGGCATTTTGTTCAATTGTTCAATCACTTTGTACTCGCTTTTCTTTAACATCTTAAGGAAATTAAAAACCTCTTCGTCCGTCACAGTTGGTTTTGTTGGAGTGGCATTTTCTCTCGCTTTTGAGGATTTATCAACTGCGGGTTCCCTTATGATTCTTCCAGATCTAGTAATGGCATCCACTTCCTTCTTGGGCACTTTTTCTCTTCCAATTAACAGTGTAGACTCGCTATAATTCCATGGGACCTCTTGCAGATTAAGAACAAGGGCTTGCTCAGGCAATTCAAGTACTACAAACTCCAAAGGCTCACATTCGAAAGGTATCATTTCCAGAATAAAAGGATCAGTATTTTTCTTAATTTCATAGGTTTCCTCCTCCAATATGAATGGTTCTCCAATGACCCCCATGATCTCGGCTTCGTCTATGATGTACTATGTAGGTTCCTCGATCTCTTCCTTTATAGTAACAGCTCCCACGGTATCCTTATGCGTAGGAAGCAGATTGTTGCTAACACTCGGCCTTTGTTCATCCCTCCTTCTCAGAACTATGTCTCTAGCCTCAATCATACCTTGAATTTTATGCTTAAGCGCCCAGTAATTGGCCATTGAATGTCCAGGGGCTCCCGAATGATAAGCACAAAATGACTGAGGATCATAATCAATGAAAAATCCCTTGGAATAGGTCTTAGGAGGTAT